ATGCTTTCTCCATTAAACGACGAATATCATTCAATAAGTGCTCAGCAGGATCCCAGTCTAGAACAAACTCAATTGTTTCACAAATGAGAAAGTCACTTTCTGAAAGCTTTTTATCAAGCAAGAATTGAAGCTTGAAAGTGTCACAAAACTTATCAAGCTTTGCTTTGTACTCAGATATCAATGGATTAGCTTCTGTTATGCTATAGAAACTGACCACTTCCTTTACTGGCGAAATATTGATGACATTGCATTTGGTTTTAATAACTTTCATGACTTCTTTCACTGTAGCAGCAGAGGTTAGGTTAGGGCCTAGCTCAGGATAGCAATCATCAAGAAATTCTATGAAATCTTCAAGTTGGTTCACTCTGACGGTGTGAGATACCAGTCGAGTAACTTTAAAATAAAAAGTTCCAAATTCTCCTCTCATTTCATCAAAATTATAATACTCTGAAATTTGGAACTCAAATTCTGTAACAAGAATTAAAGCCATTATAACTAGCTAGTTTACCTGTGACTCTAACACTTGATTCTTCAACTATAAAGATATAATTTTTGCTTGTTAAGTATTTTTTGGTAAAATTACCTGAAATTGGTGTAATGATACTCGATACATTGTGTGCATCACAACTGTCACCAGTAGAATTTTCTGCCTCAATAACGTCCACTGAAAAGAAACATAAATTTCATCAAACATTATTGTTTCTTACCACAATCTCTCATTAAGTCATTGGCTATACTAACAGTGCCTGTTGATCTTAATAATATGCTAGCAAATGATTTCAATTTGTTATGATCATAAGCTACTGCTGTGTATATTTCTCTCATTGCATCATCTGTTAGTGTGTATCCACAACCCTTCACTTCCCTCAATGTCTCTTCAGATATCAGTCCTTCTGTATGTAACAGATCAACTGATTCTTCAGAGAGTGTTGCTCCAGATATTCTACTACTGTAATGCTGTAGTAGCTGGCTAACCACTGGGAAAGGAGTATTACAATACATTATATTGAATCAGAATTGACTTTACTTGTTTTCTCAATATTTTCAGCCACTGCTTTTGCTTCTAACTTTCTAAGAGCACTAGCCAAAGTCTTCCAAGTAGGAGGATGCACATTTTCATCAGCTTTACTCAGCCACTTGGATAAACACTCCATGAGACAACGTGAAGTATTTCCTCTATGATTAGCATCAATAGCTTCCAGTGTAGGATAAAGGAGACCAAGCTTTAACCCAAACTTAAACCATTTTGCTTCAGGAAAATTGTACTGCTCTAAAATTTCTATAATCTCATTTAACTTGCTAATATCTAATGATAAAGCAAACACATACTGAAGAAATAAAAAGATATAGCTACCTAAAGCAATA